TTTTCTTCTTTTATACCTACCACTGCCTTCTGTTTTCTGCTTAAGTTTTCTTTGCCACATTGTATTTTATATTTTGGTTTGGAAATTATGATATATCTCGGTTGCTTTCTTTCCTGTCATGAACTTTTCTCTTGATTTGTCCAGTTAATGATCATGAATGTGTCACATATTCATCAAATAAAATAACAATCTTGGCATGAGTTTACTTCCTCTTCTTCTTTTCCCAGAACATTTCCTACATAGAGTCCCCACCTGTGACTGTCCTTTCACATTGCTATTTAGAAAAGGACATATTAGGTCAGGAGTTGCCTGGTGTTGAGGTTGGGAATAAGGTGACTATAAAGGGAAGTGAGAGAAATTTTTGTGATTATAGGTATGTTTTCTGTCACTCCATCATGTTTTGACAACTGTCAAAACACTGCATATCATACCTAAAATGTGTATATTTTATTACCTTGAAATTATACGTCCATAAAATTGATTTTAGAAGTGCAGTAGGGAATGTCAAAAAGAACCAGAAATCATTAGCAAGATGTAGAGAAGGCCCATTAAAGGCTGCATCTTAAAAAAGTATAATGGAACATTTTTTCCAGTAATACTTTGTAGCTTGGAATTTGAAATTGGCAAAATAAAAGTAGCAGGAAGGTGAAATGTGGAGGAAGCTTCAGTCCCTTAGCTATTTAGGATGGTATTGCGGTGGCCACTTGGGATGCCTGCTGGAGGGAGAGGCAAGTACAGGTAAGAAGCTGATAATTGTGAGAATGAGGACCATATAGTTGTAAACAAATGAAGAATAAAATCCAACAAATGTGTAATGTGTGCTTGTTATGTACCTAATATGCTTCTATGCTTTGGAGGTACAGCAATGAATAAGATAAATAAGGTTTCTAACCACAAGAATCTCACATTTTTGCAAAACAAATAAATGAATGAGAAAAACAACAGACTTAAAAAAGTTACCATTAGTTATTTATACCCAAGTATAAATATTATATATTTTATGCTCCATAATTTTTTATATCCCACATCTTTCTTTTTTCTTGGGTAAGTCTTTGTTTTCCTGGAATGCATTTTCACATTATTTCACAGACATTCTGTGGATCTTAAATTTGCTAAGGTCTAGTATGTTCTTTGTCCTCTCTCTCAAATACTAATAGCTTTCCAGTTTCAACCTCATTTTCCCTTCGACTTTGAGGATAAGTTCTGTTGTCTTATAAGTAAGGACCATGATCAGATTCATTCTGATTCTTACCCTTATTAATTTGTTTTTACTCCATGGGTGCTAGCTAATAGCCTGTTTTTCTTTATCTTAGCATTAGGAAATTTAATTTTAAATTATCATACTTTCATTTTATTCTTGTTATGCCCTTTCAGTATGACAAAGTGGATTTTTTTCCAACTTTGTGAAATTTTCTTTTATCATTTTTGTGATTATTTTTTCCTGCCCTTTTTGCTCTTTCTGGAGTTCCTTTTTGATACTATGTTGGAATTTCTATCCCTATCTCATAATTTCCCACTCTTTGTCCTTTTGTACTATGGTTTGGGAGAATTTCTTCACTTTCACCAATGGTTTTGAATGAAGTGCTTTTGGAAACTAAGCTAGAGGAACAGATCTCTTGACTATTCCCAGACATTATGTTCAGTATCCTAGCTGGACTGCTCTGACGAAGCTATTCATTATCCCTGCCCTAGAGAATTGTACCAGTTAGCCTTTTTCAAAAACACACAAAATACTTTCCAACAACATTCACACCAAATGGTTTAAAATAAAAGCATGTGAACATATTGTTATGTAGAACTAAGATCCAAGGGTGGTAAGAGCATCAACTATATATGCTGCCTGGATACATATATGCATCATCCTTGTCTATCTTAGATGATAAACTACCTCAGGTGTTTCTATATTTGTTTTTGGTAAATACCAGCTGTTTAATGAATACCTTTTGAGTTGTCATGGTAACTAAGATATCCAAACTTTATCTCTGCCTTTGTCCTTGGCAGTATAGATATTTAAATGGTTATGATTTGCTTTGGATTAATTTCAATGTAGTTAGGCCATTTGTCTTATTTTAAGTATTCCCAAGAACTTTAAAGTATTTTATTTAAAATATATACATACATAATGTATAGACCTTATATGAAATAGTATTTTTTAAATACTAAGACACATCTTATCTAGTCATTAAATTTTTGTTTTGATAAACCATTGAAACCATTTACAGGCCCTAATAACATGTTGTGTGGTCTTACAAGAGAATTTTATACCAACTTAAGATCTTATTTTTGTATGCATTAATTTTTTTAAAATCACAGTAGTAACCCATGGTAACATAGTTCATACTGGATTTTTTTAGCCTTAATATTGAACCCAGATTGTGTTTCATGAAATTTCTTATTTTAAAATTCCATATTATGGGTGTCAGTTGGAAACAGCTTGAAAACAGTTACTGAAAAATTGACGGTACACTTAATGACAGGATGATTTAAGACATTAAAGATATCACTGTCTCAACTGTTCAAACTGGGACTGATTAAGGGTTCCATAGGTATCCAAGGTTGGCAAACTGTAGCCTATGCTCAAATCCACCAACTGTCTGTCTTGATACATAAAGTTGTATTGGAATATGGCCATACCCATTCATTCACACATTGTCTGTGGCCGTTTACACGTTATAATGGCAGAGTTAAGTAGCTGTAACAGAGACTGCAAGACTTAAAGAGCCTGAAATTTATTATCTGGCCCTTTACGGAAGATGTTTACTGATCCCTGCTTTATACAATGGTGATAGTTTTGTCCACTCTTACCAACAACTACTTTCACTCTGTCATCAATGACTCACTTTTCCCTGAATACACACTACGTGTGTTTGTGTATGCCCTTGCTCAGGCTCTTTCCTCCACCTAGAATGTTGTTTCTTTCCTTACTCTCATGTCTAAAATCTATCCATTTTCCAAAATATGATTCCAATAACACTTCCTTTATGAAGCCTATAGTAAAAAAAGAAAATTAAGTTTTCTGGATACCTCTCCCTTACACTTCCTTACACAGACTCTGAAATCCTTTGCCTCTCTTGATTGTACTTGCTTGGCAACACAACTATGATTCTCTACCTGTTCCAGGTCTACCTGTTCTTTGTCCATAGTAATGTGGCCAGAGGAAACACACACAAACATGTTGACAAATCTTACTTTCTGACCGTTCATGCCATGAACTTCCTACAGGCCAGGCTCTTCTAAAATACTTCCATCTGTTCACTCTCCTACGTACCTCATACCTCGATGGCTATTTCACATATTCTCCCGTCTTCCACCTGTAACACTTCCTCCCCAGTCTCATTCTCTGCTGATGACTTTTTTGTCCTGATCGACTGAGAAAATCAAAGCAATGTCGAGAACATACACCAGGACATCTGTCTACCTCTCAGCCCTTATATCTGTCCTTACACTCAGCCTTCCTTCTCATGACAATAGATGATAAATTTCCACCCCACTTGGGCATGAAATCCTCTTGGTGTTCTGAGCACTCAGTTTCAGTGTGCAGGGCTGGAGTTCTCCCATCAACAGCAAGCAATTCTCAGACACCAGCAGGCTTTCCAAGAATTCAACTCAATTCTTTTTTTTTTAAGTACCATATTTTTATTGAAGTTATTGGTATATTTTTACTTACTAATGTGCTTCAATGCCTTAACTTTTATTTTTTTTATAAACAATTTTTAAAAATTTTTTTTAGGCAAATCTTTTTTTTTTGAGTTATAGTCATTTTATAATGTTGTGTCAAATTCCAGTGTAGAGCACAATTTTTCAGTTACACATGAACATACATGCATTCATTGTCACATTCTCTTTTGCTGTGAGCCACCACAAGATCCTGTATATATTTCTCTGTGCTACACAGTACAATCTTGTTTATCTTTTCTACATTTTGAAATCCCATTCTGTCCCTTCCCATCCCCTGTCCCCCTGGCAACCACAAGTTTGTATTCTGTGCCTATGAATCTGCTTCTGTTTTGTATTTTTTCTTTAGATTCCGCATATGAGTGATCTCATACGGTGTTTTTCTTTCTCTTTCTAGCTTACCAACTCAGTTCTGACACTATCTAACCAGAGTCAAGTTCCATAGGTTGAGGGCTCAGTCCTCCCCAACCTCTTACCTTCAGCTGCCAGTCAAAAGTCCAGGTTGTTACCTGTACTTCAGACCAACTGGCTATAAATCAGAGGTTCCAACATCCCCCGTTTATTGATTTATTATAAAAGCTATTACTCAGCCAGATGGAAGAGATGTATAAGGCACGATATGAGGCAAGGGGTGCAGAACATCCATGCCCTCTCCAGGCACACCACTCTCCCACACCTCCACGTGTTCCCCAAACCTGGACGCTCTCCGAACTCTGACCTTCTAGGGGCATGATGGATTAAATCATTGATCAACCTCCAATTCCTCTTTCCTCCCTTGAGGTGAGGGGCACAGGTTGGACTGAACATTTCAACCCTTTAATACATGGTTGTTTCTCCTAGAACCAGTCCCCATCCTTGGGTGAGGTCCAAAACTCACCTCATTAACATAATAACAGACACCTGTATTGCTGTCATAACATAAGAAATTCCAAGAGTTTTAGGAGCCAAGTGCCAGCAATGAAGATGAAGACCAAATACATACTTTATTATAAATCATAATATCACAGATACCATCACTAAATATGGCTTTGGAATCTAACCAGTTCAAGAACATAGTGTAGTGGGAAGGGCTTGGACTTTAATCAGACAGGCCTGGTCTCAAGTCCTGGCTGTCTTATCCTCACTGTGGGGCCTGGGCAGCTCACCAAATGCTGCTAACCCTTGGCCATAGGATTGTTCTGAGCATTAAATGTGAAACATGTTAAGTGACTGATAGAGTCCCCGTGGAAAAGTAGGTGCTCAAAACATATTAAATCCCTCTCTTTCCCCTCACTAGTCCACTTGTGTTTTTAAACGGATCATCTTTACTCTGGATTGTATTGTAGGAAGTACTCTGGATGGATGGCTGCTGGAAACCCATTGCCATAGCCAGCTCTTCTTCGATACTTAAGGAGTTACCCTGCCATTGAGTAATGAGAATTTCGGTAAGAAAAAATTAGATGAAGATGGTATGTGGACTTTTCTTAAAAGGACCCTTGTATCTCAGAGATTTTGCAACAAGTTAGGAGGCTCTTCTCTGAAGCTCTTGAAATGTCACAGATGTCAGTTCACCTGCGGATTGTTCTTATTTTGAAAATAAATAAAATAGGTTTTTAAAGTCTCTTAACACCCTGCTGTGCTCTTCATGTTCTGGTAGATGTATTATTTCACATATCTCATCCTATTTTGTTGTTTAAATGCTTACTTACTCAGTAGGTTGTGTAGTCTCTGAAGACGAGGCCTGGGTGTGTGTGATTCATCTGTTCAATGTAGACTTCATGAGTCACAGGTTCTTAGTGGTTAAGTGGTTAAATCCATGCTTCTTTCTAAAACTATAAAGGCCTTGACAGCTTGAAAGAGGCAGGCAGAAGTATTGAAACTCTGGGAAGGGCTAAGATAAGTGACTTTCCTAAATCACTCAGAAAACTTATTATATATTGGCTTTTAGGATGGCATAGAGTCTTTAGTTTGTTCCATTTCTACCCAGTTTTTCTTTAAATTATATTAGTATATAATTTTCATATTGTTGCATGAAATTACTAGATAACTAGTACACCTGTATTAGTAATTCATGTTATTAATCTGTGCTGTATGAAATAGTTTGGACAATTAAAAAGGAAAGAAGTATGAGAAGGAGGTTAAGGATGATAGGAGCAAATTAAGTGATGATATCAGCATATATGTAAATTAGTAAATATGTATATTTTCTTTAAATTATTGTCATTGAAATGTGTCAGGAGAAATATGTATTAAAGAATTTTGCACATAAGAGACAGCTGAAGGTGCGGAAGAAAGGAAAAAAGATATTCTAATTTCATTAATTCTGATAAGGAATATTTATTCTGAAACTATGATACATTTACATTTTGGAACCTAAACAATATGATAAAGTCTTATTTTAAATCTCATTTTTTTAACTAAAAAAATGTAACCACTTTGTGATTATATTTTTCAGAAACCATATTTGAGAAGTTCTTCTATCCATTGCTACTTGTGTTTACTTCTGAACAGTCATTTTTTAACTGAGGCTGGCATTCATGTCTTCATTTTGGGGTAATTTTATCTTTCAGCATAAGTAACGTCATGTTCATGGCCATGATCATTGTTCTTCAATATCTTCTCCTGTTAAATTTGTTTATGTTCCATTTGCTTAAATCCTTAGGTACTCAGTATTTGGGGTATGAGAGGGGTCAGATTATGGGGACCCAGGGGAGATTGAGTAAACATCACACAGAGCATTTCTATATTCTTGTAATATTCCAAATGAGTGTTATATCCTGCAAATACACTAGACCTCTTGGTATCTAACTGAACTTGAAAGTACACTCTGTTACATCCTGTAGGATTTTCACAGCAGTAAAACAATAGGTCTTTAGGGCTCACCCACATTCCTTTTTTATCTGTTCCTGACACTGACTTCTGTCCTCTGAGCCCGATCCTAGTTCAGTTTAAAACATTTCTTTCTTTCTTTGGACCTTTTGTCTTTCCTCTTAATAAACATTCGTATTTTTTCATGCCTATTAACTTTTTTCTTCTCTGTTAGATGCAACTAGCACATTGCACTCAGTTGGCCCAAAGCACCCAACCTGTAGTTATGTAGTCTGACTCTCAGTTCTGTTTTACTCTGCTAATGCCTTCGTGCTGTGGAGAGCCAGAGACTTGTGCAGGAAAACCCTCCTAGTGAGGAAGATCAGTGTTGGCTCTCGTGCTTCTGTACGGGATCTGCCAGGAAGGGACTGTTTTTCCTGAAGCTCTAAAAATTATTCCACTGACACTTGGTCAGTGTAAGTGTCTTTTGTTCAGATACTAACTTTCTGTTTTACCAAGACGAGTAAGTTGTATGATCTAGTTACAGGGCTAGATTAGGCTCAAGTCCATAATATTTATGGAGAAAGCAATACCAGGAGCCTGCAAGGGGCATATTGAACCGACTGTAAAGAGCATTTATTGTCAGAATCATTACATAAGAAAGATTATTGCTTATTTTAAGATTATTACCCATTCATTAGACTTAAAAGTCTGATGGGACTTGTACTTAAAGGAGTAATTTGTGCAAAAACATTTACTAAGTACTGTCACACTCTCAGCACTGTTTTTATCGCACTGTGATAAACTGCACCAGGTTATGTAGAAGTGATCCCTCCAAATTAGGCCTTTCTCTAATCCGGGTTGGTCATGAGGCTGGCCTGCAACATCAAAGCTGTGCGATGTGTTCGGTGTTCATCCTCACCTACAAAGCTTTTGAGTGCACACAGGGGAGGACGGTGCTGGTTTTATCACTTGTCAGAATTTAAAAAAAAGTCTCCTGTGTATTCATCAGGACAGTATTGTGTTCATTCACAACGCTCCACTCTTTGGTTTCGCTTTCAGCTGTATCAGTGCGGGTCTTCCTAAAACAGAAGCAAACTGGCAGCATGTAATAAGTGATCTGAAAAGAATTGAAAATCTTATTCAAGTGAGTACTCATTTTTCCATAAACTATCTGGTGTAATTGCTATGGAGTATGTGCCTCCCCATATCTTGCCGTCAGTCTTAGTGAAGTCTCCCTTGGAACAATAATCTTTTTGTAGAATCTGTGAGCCTCAAATGAAATCTTTTACTTAGAATTTTCAGATCGTAATTATCTTTAAAACTCAATTTATGAGTGCCCAGCATGGAGAGCTCTCTGTCCCCACAGGCCAGGGAGACTCCCTACTCCTGCCAGAGAAACCAGATGGCTTGGTGGTGCTTGTAGGGAGAATGGGGTGATCCAGGAGAGGGCTTTCTGCTCTGTGGGTTAGGAACCCCTCTCCCACCTGGAGACACCAGCTGGCCTGGCAGAAAGTGCAGAGAGGAGAGAACAGGGGCCACATTGTTGTGTGGGTGACACAGTGGGACCAGTGGGACCAGTGTGAGTCCCGGGGGCAGCAGGTGAAGCAAGCCTTCCAAATTAACGTCATGAAGATTCTGAAAATTAAACTGTCGTTGGACTCGCAGGCATACAAACAAAGGTCAGAGCCTGCGCCAAGGTGCTAAGCCTGCCCAGGGTGGCCACATGCTAAAAGAGAAGATTCAAATAGGACCGGGATCTCCTAACATAATATCCCAAACACCGGAATACAGCGGAAAATCACTTTTCATATCAAGAAGCAGGAAAAATCACAACTTCAAGGAGAAGAGACTCTGAAACAGGCTCTGAAACTGAGATGGATCAGATGCTGGAATTATTTGACAAGGATTTTAAAGCAGCCATCAGGAAGATGTGCCAGCAAGCAATTACGAATACAACTGGAAAGCAAAATAGAAAGTCTTAGCAAAGAAATACAATATGTAAAAGGAACCAAATGGAAATTACAGAACTAAAAAAGACAATCACTGAAATATAAAACAAACTGGAGAGGCTCATTAGAATGATTATGACAGAGGAAAGACAGTCAGCTTGAGGATAGAACAAGGGAGAAAAAACAGACTGAAAAAAAAGTACATAAAGCCTCAGGGATCTTTGGGACAATAAAAGCTCCAGCATTCCTAGCATTAGCATCCCAGAAGGAGAGGAGGAAAAGAATACAAATAAAAGACAGAGGCTGGCCAAATTGAGAACAAAATGCATACCAACTTTATGTTGCCTACAAGGAATTCATTTCAAAATATATAATGACAAAGGTTGGTTGAAAAGAAGAGAGAAGAATGTGCTATGTTGTATTAGTACCCCCCCCAAATTCATGCCCACCAAGAGCCTCAGAATGCGATCTTATTTGGAAATGGGGGTCTTTGCAAATATAATTGGTTAAGGTGAGCTTATACTGGGGTGGGGTGGTTGGGCCTAAATCTAATGACTAGTGTTCTCATAAGAAGAGGACAGGACACACGGACACTCACAGGGAAGAAAGGCCTGTGGAAACAGACGCAGCTACAAGCCAAGGAAGGCCAGGCATCACCAGGGGCTGCAGAGGATTTGGGAGACCTAAGGAAAGACTGTTCTCTAGAGCCTCCAGAGGCAGTGGGCCCAGGTGACTCCTTGGCTTTGAACTGTAGGAGAATAGACTGTAGTTGTCTGAAGACACCCACTTTGGGATCCTTTGCTACAGTGGCTCTAGGATACAGAGACACATGCACACACGATAATTTTGAAAATCAGAAGTGGCTCTATTCCTAGCCAATCATGTCGACTTCACAGCAAATAAAATTATTAGAGTCCAAAGGGACATTACGTCATGGTAAAAGATGAATCCACCAGGAAAACATAAATGATCTTAAATGCGTACCCACCACACAGCAGTGCCTCAAATGCAGGAAGCGAAAACTAATATTAAGACTGAAAGTAGAAACAGGTGAATCCGCAAATACAGTTGAGGACTTTACCACCTCCTCAGTAATGAGTAGAACTACCCACCAGAAAATCAGAAAGGGTATAGAAGCACTGGACAACACAGTCCAGCAACAATGTCTAATTTCCATAGATAACACTTCACCAACAACAGTGAATAAGTGCTTTTTCAGGTGTCTTTCATCAAGACTGGACAGCTCTTGGGCCATAAAACAAACTCCAACAAATTTATGAGAACTGAAATCATGCAGAACATGTTATTTAATCACAGTGGAATCAAAGAAAAGTCAAATTGCATAAATGCAACAGGAAAATCTCCAAATACTTGCAAATTAAGTTATACCCTTATAAATATTCCCTAGGAAAAGAGTAAGTCTCAAAGGATATTTTAAAAAATACATAGAACGGAATGAAACGAAAAACAACATATGAAGATTTGTGGGATTTAGCTAAAGCTTTGCTGAGTGGGAAATTTATAAAATGAAATGGTTACATTAGAAAAGAGAGAAGATTTCAGATCACCAATCTAAGTTATTGCCTCAAGAAACTGGAAAAAGAAGAGCCAAATAAACCCAACACTTGCAGAAGGAAGGAAGCAATAAAGATAAGAATAAAAATTAATGAAATTGAAATCAGGAAAACAATACAGAGAAATCAATGAAACATAAAGCTCATTATTTGGGGGAAAAAATCAATAAAGTTGATAAACTTGTAGCAAACCTGAGTCAGACAGAAGAGATGACACATGCCATTAGTATCAGGACTGAAATTGAGGTCTGTGACTCCAGAACTTACAACCATTAAAAGGATAATAAACAAAAACTACGAACAACTTCACTCTTGTGAATTTGATAATTTAGAGGAAATGGAGCAATTCCTCAAAAACCAGAAACTACCAAAATGTAACACAGATGAAGTAGATAATCCAAAAACTCCTATAATCAGTAAAGACATTGAATCCACCATATTATAAACTCCCAAGAAAGAATCTTCAGGACAGCTGGTTTCACTGGAGCAATCTACCAAACATTTAAAGAAGCGTTAACATGAGTTTTACACATTCTCTTTTAAAAACAGAAGAGAGAACACTTTCCAACTCATTGTGGGAGGCAGGTGTTACCCTGAAGGTAAAAACCAGATAAAGACAGGACCAAAAAAGAAAGCTACAAATACCGCTAACGAACTTAGATGCAGAAATTCTCCACAACATTAGCAAATCAAATCCACCAGTGCACTGAAAGAATTATACACCGTGAACAAGTGGATTTTGTTCCAGGTGTGCAAGACCTGTTCAGTATTTGGAAGTCAATCAATGTAATCCACCAAATCTACAGGCTGAAGTAGGTAATCATATGAGCATATCAATTATGCAGGAAAAACATTTTAAATATGCAGCATCTGTTCATACTAAAATTTCTCAGCAAACAAGGACAAGAGGGGAACTTCTTCGGCTTGATATTGAGGATGCACAAAACACCTAGAGCTGACATCATACTTAATGGGAAAAGACTGAACGCTTTTCCCCTAAATATGGAAACAAGGCAAGGATGCCTTCTCTCATCGCCGTTATTCAACATACTATTGGAACTTTAGCTCAATTGGCAAGGCAAGAAAAAAGAAATAAAAGGCTTAAGGCAAGAAAAATAAATCATAGGCATGCAGATTAGAAAGGAAGAAATTATAAATTACCTTAAGTGTTTTTTGGGAGAAGGTACCAATAAATGGTTATATTTTACTTAGAGGATGAAAATTAAAACCACTATGACATATCACAGTGCACCTATAAGAATATTTAAAATGAAAGGTATCAATAATACCAAATGCTGGCAAGGATGTGGAGAAACTGAATCCCTTATGTTTTGCCAGTGAGAATGTAAAATTGTACGGCCGCTCTAAAATAGTTCAGCTGTTTCTTAACAATACAAAGCATGCATTTGACATATGATCTAACAGTTGCACTCTTGAACATTTATATCAGAGAAATGAAAACTTGTATTCACACAAAAACATGCACATGAATGTTCATAGAACTTTATTTATAATAACTAAAAACTAGAAATAACCCACATGTCCTTCAACAGTGAAGCTTGGGTACATTATGTCACACAATAATACTGAGCAACAATAAGGAACAAATTACTGATACTCACAACAAGTTGTATGGATCTCTGCAGTGTTGTGCTGTGTGGGCAAAAAACCAGTCTGGATTAAACAAAACTGTAGTATGTCCATAAAATGGTGTATTACTCAGTGATAAAAAGGAATGAGCTATTTAGCCATGAAAAGATTTGGAGGAACCTTGAAAGCATATTGCTAGGTGAAAGAAGCCAATTAAAAAAGGCTACATACTCTGTGATGCCAACTGTATGACCTTCTGAAAAAGGTTGGCTACACAAAAATCATTTCTGGTTTCCAGGTGTTAGGGGAGGGGGAAGGGAGAAAAGATGAAGCACAGGTGATTTTTAGGGCAGTGAAACTATTTCGTATGTTACTATGATGGTCGATGCATGTCATTACACATTTGTTAAAAAATGTGGATGTTCAACACCAAGAGTGAACCCTAATGTAACTGTAGACTTTAGTTGAAGATGTATCAATATTAACTAATCAGTTGTGACAGATGTCCCATACTAAAGCAAGATATTAATAATAAGGGAAACCTGAAGTGGGGGCAAGAGGACATTGGGAACTTTCTGTACTTTCTGCTCGTGTTCTATAAGCCCACAGCTACTTAAAAGTAGTCTATTAATTTTTTCAATAAGCCAGTTTCACAAGGTTACATACTGTATGATTCCATTTATAGAACATTCTCAAAATGATACCATAGGGATGGAGAGCAGAGAAGTGGTTGCCAGGGATTAGAAGGATGAGGGGTAGGGGGGAGTGTTTCAGGAGGAAGGTGATTTGGGGGATAAAAGTGTAGCAAGAGGATTCTTATGGGATGGGACTGTTCTGTATCTTAACTGTGGGAGTGGTTACATGGATTTACACATCTGATGAAATTGTGCAGAGCTATACACACACGCACACGCACACACACACTAGTGATGTAAAATGGTGAAATCTGAACAAAGTGGGTGGGTCATATCCATGTCAGTTTCCCGGTTGTGATGTTGCACTGTGTTATGCAGGACATCATTACTAGGCCAGATGGTGAAGAAGTACACAGGATCTCTCTGTATTTTCCTTTATATTTCCATATGAATCTAAATTATCCCAAAATAAGGAATTCAATTTAAAAAGTGTAATTGAATGTTTTCAGTGGGTTGTTGTCACTGCATCTATAGCAAAGCATAGTTTTTCATATTATCTAATTTTGTTCCCTTTCAGTCTATACATATGGATGCCACTTTATATACTGAAAGTGATGCTCATGTGAGTATAGTTTATTTTCAATATTGTTATATTTTCCAGTGTTCAAAAGCATAAGAAGTATATTTTCTTAAGTTTACTGAAATATGTGTAGTTTTTAAATCTAACTTCTGGTGTGTTCTTACAACATACGGTCAAGGAATTTTATATGTAATTATTGAGGTTATGGGACATGGGGACAAAGAGTTACATAGATGCTGTTTTCATTATAGCATCATTGCCAAATCAAAAATATAAAAAAGCTTTTTCCATCAGTGTCAAACAAAATGTATACATCTCTGTGATGCAATTAAATGCAAGAATCAAGTTAACTCATTCAGTTTAAAAGTATCCAACATATCGGTTGTTTCCAGTGCTGTAGCATATTACTTTTAATCATATTTTCTACAAATTACTTGAATGCACTCATGCTCTACATTTTGCCTGAATTTCTACAATTGTCAGAAAAGGGTTTTTCACTGGTTAGTCTCTATGTGAGAAAAGAAGCAAACAAGACCAACGAAAACTACCCGAATTCAAAAATGATCTTGAACTTGTTTCATTAATATGCTGACATTGCCTAAAGCATGCAGGATTCAGTCCTATTGCTAGTCCTTTCCCTCTGGATTAGTTACTAAAGACCAAGGAACAAATCCCCGACTTCTTCACCTCTTGGAAAACAAGCTCTGTGTTGTGTGCATTCAGGACAGAGTCCTTGCTCTGTTACTCCTCAGTTAGAATTTCTCTGAAATAGAAGGTTTTGCTCTACCAAGACTTTCTGAGCAATGGAAAGAAGCCACAGCCAGAAATTAGAAAAAACAGATATCCATCATCCACTTAGACAGTGCTGCTCCATGTAGAAACTGTCTCCCTCTTTTGGCTTCAACATGTCTTCCACTTTTTCTTTGCATCTTCTTCAAAGTAGAAAGCAATCAATTCACCACCAACACTCACAACCCTGAGCCTGCTTTTCTGCAAGAGGGTAACTTTGCAACGTGTGGGTCGCAGAAAGAAGCTAAGCTTGAAATTTAGATGTAAACCCTGACTCAGCCACTTCCTAGCTTTGTTACCTTGGAAGACACTAAATATTTCTGAACCCCAGCTTTATGATTTATTTTGCTGTATTTATTTCTTACTTAATTATCGACATGGGGACGGTATTCACCCTTTCAGTCTGGAGCAGCTCCTGTGTGGGGGAAGGAGAGCTGCCCCAGCCAGGCTCGTGGGTGTGTTCCTTCCTCCATTCGTTCAGTGAGCACTGGCTAAGCCCCTGCGGAGTCTCAGACACTGTGCACCCACAGCGCTGAGAACAGAAAATCAGACACGGCCCAGTTAAATCCCCACATGCTCATTAAGTGCTTCTTTTAAGTTTAGAGTTTTTGTTAATCATTGTGGAAAAGTATTTTTGTGGTACCTAAAATGTCCCTATCTGATGGGGCCAATCTGTGCCCTACTTCCGCTTTGATATTTCCAGGAAATTTCTTGGAATCACGTTCACCTCTGGCACTTTGGAATTTGCAGGGGTCGTATGATTAGCAGCTACCACTTAAAAAATGTTAACGATACAATCGGAGTCTAAAAAATTCTTCCTTATGGGCCATCTATGTTAATATTTTGAGAGTCTCGGGCCAGTACAATCACCCTTTGACACAGAGGAAATGTGCTTAGTGAGGAAAAAGTGGCCTATTGTTTCCTGTTTTCTAGCTTTGCGCTCTTTCTTCTGCACAATATTGCCATCCTTCCCCATTGTTTTGTTAATCAGTTTTTGGTTTTGATTTTGGTATCAAAGCTCAAAGAGAAAACAAAGTATCAAGCTGCTTCCTGTATAAAACTTCTTAAAGGTGCTATGTTTCTTCCTAAAATAGTTTGATTGACTTTTTTAAAAAATCAAAATTGCATCTGTGTGAAACTGAATAACGGGGAAATAATCCTTTTTTTTCAAAATGGTTCTTTGTGACTCTGTTTTTAGCCCAGTTGCAAAGTAACAGCGATGAAGTGCTTTCTCCTGGAGTTACGTGTTATTTTGCACGAGTCCAGGGATATGGACATTACTGATACAGTAGAAAACCTTCTCATCCTCGCAAACAGCAGTTTGTCTTCTATAGAGGTGAGTTATGCCAACGTTGTACAGAGCCCCATTGGATGTTCTCGGCCTGATTGGGAGAAACCATTAGCTGGGTGTAACAGACAGGGAGACCCTCTGAAGAGGCACTCGGGTGAGGGGGTTAATTCCATCCAAGTGGCATCCAAAAGTGGCACCATCTCTTGTGTGCCCAGACTCCTGGACTTTTTTTAATTGATTTATCTGTTCAACATACTTTTCCTGCCTGCTCTGGGCTGTGTGCCGCGGTGCTGGAATGACAGGGGTGAACCAGACGGTCAGGTGACTGATCTCAAGGGGTTGATCGCCAGGTGCAGTGGGGGGACGTCAGTTACATCATCACTGAGCATCCACAGTAGTCATCCACAGTTGCTGGGCTGTTACTCTGAGCCAGACCCTGGTCTTCCAGGTGATTTGTGGAACTCTCACAATAAATCTGTGACTGAGTTATCGTTTCTGTTTTAAGGTTGAAGAGATTGGGGCACTGGGAGCTTGAATGTCTTCCTCCAATTCACACAGCTAGTAAAATGGGGAGCCAGGGGTCTCCCAGTCATTTCATTCCAGAGTCTGTCTTCTTATATACTGAAAAGGTACATGCTGCAAAAGGATAATAATAAAAATAGGAGTAATTGGAGATAATTTGGGCCATCTCAGGCAACATGAACAGTCTAGGGCTCCAGGCATGCAAATACGAGGGACCCCCCGGCAGGTGGGACCCCCCCCAGCAGGTTGGGCATCAGTGTATAAAGGCCCTGAGACTGGAGGATCATGGCTTTCATGGCAAAACACTAGTGGCCAAAGCAAAGTGGACAGAAAATGTTTTACAAACAAAGAAGGCATAATAATAGTTCATTAACAAGTCCTTCTTAGGCTGCATTGAAGGCCCTCAGGATAACAGAAGTGAAAAAAACCACACGTGGTTCCAGCTCCTACAGAAGGAAGAAGCATGTAGAAACCAATCAATAAGCAAATGAATAATAAGTCAGGTATTTATTAAGTCCAGTGGCCAAAGAAAGAGGCAGGTAAGGGGCCTGGGGCTCTACTGTAGAGAAGGTTTACCTACTAAGCTCACATTTGGCAAAGACGTGACGGAACAAGCCTTCAGGATATGGGGGGGGGGGCGTCGTCCAGGCAGAGACCCAACTGAAAGAGCAGAGCCTCTGAGCTGGTGTGGCTGGACACCTGGATTTCCCTGAAAATGCCAGGCTGCTTTAGGTCTTTGCTTAAATGTCACCTTGTCAGTAATGTCACCTCTTCACAGTTTCAGTCCCACACCCTCATCAGCATGTCCTGTCCCCTTCTCTGCACGTCTCACTGTCTGACATGCTACATATTTTACCTGATGGACATTGTCTACCTTTTCCTACTAGAATGTCAGCTTCAAAGGGACAGGTATTTGGGATTCTTTATAGCACCGTTTTCAAACTCCCAGAATAATGCTGGCATATACTCGATACTTGATCTATTTCTGAAATGAATGGATTAATGTTTAAAATACTCTTGGGATATGCTATCTCTCTGTAATTGAAAGACTGAGCCATGCAACAGGTAACTCATGGCAGTGTCAGTCATGGGGGGCTCTTAGTGAGCATTTTCATAGTCATCCTCCTCATGACATAGTGTGACACATGCAGCAGAAGGATGGGCAGGACTGCACAGTCAGAAGACCTGGACATGGGGAATTTCACCAATTATGTCAACTGAGATGAGTCATTTGACATCTCTGCCTTCCATTCTGACATGATTATTGCCAGGATCAAATAGGACAGCATTATATGGAATATGCCAGTGCCTGGCATGGAGTACGTGCTTGATAAATCTTGGTGAATCTGAATTTTAAACACTTAACGGATGGAAAATCTAATTTTGATTTTTGCTGGTACAGCTTTCATGGTTCAGATGATCTCTGGAAAATTTATTTTTGACGACTGGTATTTGGAATATTCAAGTTATCCATGAAACTGTGTTTGGATTACAACAATTTGTGGTATTCACCAAAATAGTTCAGTTCAACCAATAATGAGTGGGTGAATATATGTGCCAAGCCTTATGCTAACTGCTAGGGAAGCAAAAATACATAGCTTTGCCCTCTTGGAAAAGCCTAGAGAATAGTGATATGGAAAGCATAAAACTCCATAATATCAACATAATGCATGATGCAGCATGAAAGAGAGTCTAAACAAAGGCTTCTGAGAATGTAGAGATGGGACATTTAGTCCAGCCCTGGGAGCTCCCAGGTTCAGAAGAGCCTTCCTAATGGAGACAGCACCTGAGTAATCTTAAGTGTGAGAAGGAGTAGCTAAACTAGAGGTGTGGAGCAGGCAGAGAGAAAGACAAAGGCAGTGAGGCATCTAATAGCCTGATGTGTGCATGGGGGCTGCAGTCATGAGCCCAGAGCTCCCAAAGCATAACTGTTGAGGTAGTGGGAAAGGTGAAGGAGGCAGGTTAAGGCACATACCAAACCTGTGTGCCATGCAGGGAGGCATGGACTTCATGCTGGGGTAGGTGACCAGAACCCACTGAAGGGCTCTAAGCAGGAAGTTCACGGTCTGATAGACATGGCTTATTTTTTTTCAATGTCCTGAATCCACTCTAGGAAAAATCAGCCAGTACCAAATCTCCCAGTTCTCTTTCCCCCTAGTTCTTCCTAATATGATATTAATTTGCCAAAATTTCTATGGCTCAAGACCTCACCCTATGGTTCAAATGATGTAGTATTCGCAGGAAAGGCATATTTTAGTCTTTCCAATCTCATCTTTTCTTTTTACTTGGCAGCATAAAACTGAATCAGGATGCAAAGAATGTGAGGAGCTGGAGGAAAAAAACATTCACGAATTTTTGAAGAGTTTTGTACATATTGTGCAAATGTTCATCAACCCTTCTTGATTGCGGCTGATCCTTTTCAGCATTTCTATTATTAACAAGCATCTTCCCACCGCTTAGAGGCAACAAAACACTCAGCGTTTCCAATATGCTGCCAAAACAAGCTCTTCTAGCAAGAAAACGGTCGAGAGCTTGGATCAGGACTCTTAGAAATGAAGGCAGAAAGATGGCGTTGCGTAACCTGACGTCTATGAACTGTCTTTGGACTTATTTTGTTCATATGTTTAATTTATTATTAAAGTTGTACATATTTGTAGCATAATGTAAAATGTTGAATAAAACTGTATACATATTTTATCCTTTGAAATTGCAGTGATATTTTTTACCTTTTGTAAGAAAGTAGGGGGTGTTTGGTTCAAGGGTGATAGTCAAATTATTTAACAACCAGTGGGGCTGGGCACGAGTACTGTAGGTAAAGTGTGTGCCCCAGGCGGTGTGGAACACCGCCTACCAGCCTTCCTTTGCTTCTCCGTCTGGCGTAGCACTTGGAGGAAGAATTGACTACCAGCAAGAAAGGAGCTATTAGGTGTGAAATTTAGTTACTGATACGTAAAGCACTTGTTACGAAAGAGAATTTGCAAGTATCTGACATAGAATATGCATCAATCAGTCCATCTTAGGTGGCATTGGCAATAATAAACCTTCACTGATAGACGGAATTGTGGATCAAAAAGTAATGGTTGTAATCATGTTTATATTTCATGCTTTCCCAAGTACAAGTATTTTATTTTTCAACATTGTTTTTGCCGTGTTTCTATAATAATTTTTAAAATCTGCTGATCAGTTAGAGCTAACATGATCTGGCATAAAATCATTGTTTTTACTTTTTTTAATATACTGTCTAAAATTTGCAAGCTCTCTTTTTAATGGAAGTGACCAAAATGAAATATTCTCATCTCATCACAAATTTTTTTCACCCAGCTCACTTCTGGCAGTCTTTGCTGAGAGACCTGTAGGGTAGGAATTGATTTCCTAAGAATTCAGTTTCTCTCCATGTCACTGTACAAATGATTCCTCTCTTGAAACATTCCTTAATAGTCCAGTGCCCCATCCATGCTCACATATCTCATCCCTCTAGTCAATGTGTGCTTAAGGTTTTGTTTCAAGATAGTTTTAGAGAAATCTGTATTCCATTTGACTTCCAAAGAGTCATGGGTTAGCTCTCAGTCGATTGCCTGATCTCAATACAGTCCAATAGTATTTGGCAGCTGTTGGAATTATGGCAGTTTTATAAAAGAATTTCATCTGAAATGGATTTTTTGACAATGCAGTTGTTTTGTTTATTGTATCAGAAAGTATTAAGCAGAAATTTTAGAAGTTGAAAATACAGATTTTTTTGATAAATATTTATGAGAGGGCAAATGATTGTAATATGTCAAGGAAATTTTACTATATGTGTTAAACCCAAATACATTACAGGAATTCTGTTTTTACTTTAGCCTCTCTTGAAGTAAATAATAATGCTCAAAATATGATAGTCTATTTCTCTGAGATTAAAAAATAGTCTAGAGGTAATGATGGCATTTGTAAAACACAGTCATGATCATGCCTCCACTCTTTTGTTTCTTGTGATACAGCATTTTGGTTTGAGACTTAGATGAAGATAGGAAGTGTGCTTATCAAATTTATAGATTATGCAAAATATGTAACAGAATGAAGATTTACAATTCCCTCAGACTCGAAGGAAATGCCAGTGTAACAAGACGAAAATCGGTAAGGATACACAGAGACTTCTGTACTTGGACCACCATAATGAACTGCACAAGGGAAGAATAAGGAAGATGCAGCTGGATTCAGCAAAAAAAGATTTTAGGATATTTATGCACCAGTAAATGCATCAGTATAACTTGACTGTTTGATGTGACTATTAAAAAGGCAATTGCAATTGTTGGCTACTTTAATATAAATTTATTACCTAGGTCAGTATTTTTTAAGTGTGGCTGATGGCATCAAAATCACCTGGAAATTTTTTGGTTTTTTTGATTTTTACAGTTTTATTGTGAAACAGTTGGCATACATCACTGTGTAAGTTGAAGACACACAGAAGGAGGTTTGATTTACTTATATTGTGAAATGATTACCACAGTAGGTTTAGCTAAGATCATCTCATACAGATACAATAAAAAGAAAAGAAAGAAAAAATCAGGAAGTAATTTTCTCCTTGAGATGAGAACTTACAGGATTTACTCTCTTTAACAGCTATCCTGTGTATCATAGAGCGATGTCAGCAATAGTCTTCATGTCCTCCATTTCATCCCTCGTGCTTTTTTATCTCCCAACTGGAAGTTTGTACCTTTTGACCACATTCCTCCAATTCCCCTCTTCTTAGTCTGTCTTTGGTAACTGTTAAGTCTGATCTCCTTTTTTTTTTTAATGAGTGTTTTGTTTTGTTTTAAATTGTTTTTTAGATTTCACAAAGAGGTGAGCTCATACAGTATTTGTCTTTCTCTATCTGACTTATTTCACTTAGCTTAATGCCTTCAGGGTTAATCCATGTTGTTACAAATGGTGAGATTTACTCATTTTTATGGCTAAATAATATTTCATTTTATATAGATACATACCACAACTTGTTTATCCACTCATCCATCAATGGACAAGTACGTTGTTTCCATATCTTGGCTATTATAAATAATGGTATGAAAATAAGGGTGCAGATATATTTTCAAGTTACTGCTTTTGTTTCCTTTTTGTATATATTTCTTGAAGCAGAATTGCTGGCTTATATGGTAGTTCTCTTTTAATTTTTTGAGGAACTTCAATACTGTTTTCTCTTACAATCCACCAACAGTGCACAGGGTTCCCTTTTCTCCACATTGTTGCCAGCACTTTATATTTGTTGTCTTTTTGATACTAGCCATTCTAACATGGGATGATTTCTTATGGTTTTAATTTGTATTTTCCTGGTGATTAGTGATGTTGAACATCTTTCCATGTATCTATTGGTTTTATATATCTTCTTTGGAGAAATGTTTATTTGAATCCTTTGCCCATTTATTAATTGGATTTTTTTAATTGAAGTATAGTTGATTTCCGATGTTGTGTTAGTTTTAGGTGTACAGCAAACTAATTCAGTTATACATATAATTATGTATAATTTTTAGATTCTTTTCCATTATAGATTATCACATGATATTGAATATAGCTCCCTGTGCTGTACAGTAGTTCCTTGTTGTTTATCTGTTTTATATATAGTAGTGTGCATATGTTAATCCCAAACTCCTAATTTATCCCTCCCCACCTTTCCCCTTAGGGAAACCGTAAGTTTGTTTTCTATCTCTGTGAGTTTATTTCTGTTTTGTAAATAAGTTCATTTGCATCATTTTTTTAGATTAATTTGATTATTTTTTATTGAGTCATATGAGTTCTTCATATATTTTAGATATTAATTCTTTATAGGATATGCAATTTGCATATATTTTTCCCATTCCATAGGTTGCCTTTTCAGTTTGCTTATGGATTCTTTTGCTGTGCAGAAGCTTTTTAGTTTGTTAGAGTCCCACTCATTTATTTTTGATTTTTGTTGCTTGTGTGTTAGGTGTCATATCCAAAAAATCATTACCAAGACCCATATAAAGGAGCTTTATTCCTATGATTCTTTCTAGAAGTTTATGGTTTCAGATCTTACATTTAAACTTTAATTCATTTTAGTTAACGTTCATGAGCAGTGCAAGATATGGGTCCAATTTCATTCTTTTACTGTGAGTACCCAGCTATACCAGCACCATTAATTGAAAATACTGTCTTTTCTCTACTGAGTCTTCTCAACTACCTTGTCAAATATTAGCTGACTGTATATATTTGATTTTATTTCTGGGCCCTCAATTCTGTTTCTTTGGTCTATTTGTCTGTTTTTATGCCATTACTATACTGTTTTGATGACTATAGTTTTATAGTATAGCTTAAAATTAAGAAGTGTGATGTCCTGCTTTGTTCTTCTTTCTCAGGATTTCTTTGGCTATTTGAGGTCTTTTGTGGTTTCATAAAAATTTTAGGAGTGTATTTTTCCTACCTCTGTGAAAAAGACCATTGGACTCTTGATAATGATTGCATTAATTCCATAGATGGTTTTTGGTAGTATTGACATTTTAACAATATTATTTCTTCCAATCCATGAATATGGGATACCTTTCCATTTATTTATTTCTTCTTCAGTTTCTTTCATTAATGTCTTATAGTTTTCAGAGCAGAGAACTTCCACTTCTTTCACTGAATTTACTCCAAAGTATTTTATTATTTTTGATGCTACTGTAAATGGGATTGAGTTTGTTATTTTTCAGAAAATTTCTTGTTAGCCTATAGAAATGTTACTGATTTTTATATTTTTATATAATATTATATCCTGCAACTTTACTGATTTAATAGATTAGATCTAACAGGTTTTCTTGTTGTTGTGTCTTTAGGGTTTTCTATATATAAAGTCATTGCATCTGCAAATTGAGATAATTTTAGTTCTTCAATTCTGATACTTTTTTCTCGTGTCTGATTGCTCTAGGTAGGACTTCTGGTACTACATTGAATAGGAGTGGTGATGTGGGCACCCTCATCTTATTCCTGATTTTAGAGAAAAGCTTTTAGCCTTTCGCCACTGAGTATGATGTTAGCTGTGGGCTTGTCATATATAGCCTTTATCACTTTAAGATATATTTCTTTAATGCATAATTTGTTAAGAGTTTTTATCATGAATGAATGCTGAATTTTGTCAAACTTTTTTTCTGCATCTATTAAGATTGTCATACAATCCTTTTCTTTCATTCCTTTAGGGTTTATTGGACCTTTTTTAGTTTCCTTTGGAGAGGTCATATTTATCTGATTTTTCAAGGTCTTTGATTCCTTACTTTGGTATCTGTGCATTTGAGTAATCAGGCTCCTCTTTCAGGTTTTACAAAGTGCTTTGGGAGAGAGACTTCTTCAACAGTCAACTCAGTTTGAGTTTCTGGGTATGTCTGCTGGTAATGTCCTTAAGTATGTGGGCCTGCTGTTATGGTCAGGTTTGGAGCAAGGCAACTGAGCTTTGAGGATGGGGCTGGGGGTGGGGTACCACTGGCTGTGAACAGTTGGATAGGACTGCTAACTTGGTATCCTACCCAAAAGAGGCTATCGGGTAGGCTCTGCAGGTGCCTGGATTCTCTGGTCAGGCTTAGTAGAAGGTCAGGAATGGGTGCTATTTTTAGTAGTAGGTGGGGCTATGAATTAGCTTCCCTGCCCTGGTAGAGCAGCAGGACAGGACCCAGGGCCTTACAACTCATTGTCTGGGGACTTGAATCAGGCCAAAGCATGTACTAAATGCCTTGATCAGGTGAAGCC